ATTATTAATATTCGTAGGTGGGCATTCCTTATAAATCTCCCCGTAGGTGCTCTCGCTTTTATCTCTGTTGTCCTCCTGTTGCATCTTCCAAACCCTTCCAGCTCTTTTTGCGCAAAATTTAAGCTCATTGATTGGTGGGGTACTTTTACTCTAGTTGCTGCCACTATTTTATTATTACTATCACTTAATTGGGGTGGTTCAAAATATGGTAGGTTTTATTTTATATTTCCTTTCTCACAAATTACACTTCCTTGCTTGATTATATATCTGTTCTTTTGATCTTTAAATCTTAGGATGGAATAATCCTATTATTATAATTTTATTATGTCTTGGTGGCATTGGATATATTTTATTTGCATTTATTGAAGGAAAAATCGCTAAAGATCCTATTGCTCCTGGTAAATTTTTGTCTTATCTTACCATTGCAATTTAATATTTATCACTATTAATATTCTGTATATATGATGTTATTAGGTCGTTTATTCAAAAATCCAAAAGTAGCTGCTTGTTTTAGTATAAACTTTTTTCATGGGATGATAATGGTTGGTTTATTGTATTTTGTACCACTTTATTTTCAAGTTGTAAAATCCGAATCTGGTATGTATATATCCAATCATCCTTAAAGTTAATATTTTTATTACTGTAATATTATAAGAATAACATTATAGTTATAATTTTTAACATTCTATAGCTACCAATTCGGGTTTAGAACTTCTTCCTTATATTCTAGGTTTGGTCGTCGCTTCTATGTCTATTGGCCAACTAGTTTCAAGAACTACTTTTTTTTCTTATGGTTTAATTTGCATTGTTGGAAGTATTTTAATGGGCTTAGGGGCTGGATTAATTAGCTTGTTTTCTAAAGATACAGATAAAGGTCAAGTAATTGGTTATTTATTAATTTCTGGTCTTGGTGTCGGTTTTATCACACAAACTACGATATTAGCTGGACAAGGAATTGTGGAACATAAAGATGTTGCTAGTGTCACTTCATTACTGGCGTTTTTCAGAACCAGTATGTAAAATTATTATATAAATCTTTTTTCTCAGTTATTAAATCGCAAAATTTTAAACTAATGCATTATCCTTTCTGTTTTTTAAAAAAAGTTGGTGCAGTGTTTGGTGTAGCTATCCTAGGAACTGTCTTTAATAATGTATTTAATTCAAATTTACCTCCTGAATTTCAAGGAAAAGTATCTTTGCATGATTTTGGCACGTCTGCATTAGACAAAATTCCCGACGTTATAATTCAAACCTTTTTACTAGCCTTGAATACTGCAATTAGATTTTTAATTGGCATGTCTGCATTAGCTCTTATCTCTTCATTACCTATCATAAATGTTAAACCACACAGAGATAGTACAAAAAAAGCATGAATTCTTTAAAATAGGTTCGTTTTTATAAATATAGTTATTAATAGAATGTTAAAATTGTAATAACTGATAGTGTTAGAAAAGTAAATGTCAATTATAAACAATTTTATAATTTAATTATCAGCATACAAAATTATATATATTCATTAATAACACATCCAATCATTAACATCTGGTTGATAATGGTTGAACATATCGGTCCAGCTTCTCAAAGATTGAATGCATTAGGAATTATCTGTTTATTTATTATCATTATTATTTAGTACATAGGTAGTAGCCTTTATTTTAAAAATTAATGTATAATATAGTCATTAAAATTTATAAATTACTGTATATTTGTTATAGTCTCTTTGGAATTTATGTTAGTTCAGAATTGACATAGGTCATCTTGGAATCGAAATTTGGCATAAGTTACAAATGTAGTTGTCGTTTTTGCTTTTGCTTAATTAGTTTCTTGTTTCTAAATCATTGAATTATTTTTAGTCGTAATTAGTGGTCAGGTCAAATTTTGCTATGCTATAGCATTTTCTAAGTAGATGAAAGTATCAAGTAAAATAATGTTGAGTGCTGGATATATTGGTCTCATAGAGGGTCATTGTTTGTTTGCACGCGTGTAATACATATATTACATCGTTTTAAGTATTTTCTACGATTACTTTGAGTATAAAGCAATATTTTTGCCGGATCTATAAACTTATATTATCATTAATTATATTGAATAGTTTTTTAACTTAAATAAAAAGTATTACTTTTAGCTATGTTCTTTCCTGACCATCATGTTCTGTATTTTGATGAACTTGACAAATTGTTCCGTAAAAATCCTTAAAAGGACATACTTGTGTACTATGATTATGATTTCCAGTTTAATATTTGGCTCCTCACTATTTCCAATTTAATTGACCGTAAACTTATAAAAGAATCCAATATTTGAGCTTTGGGTTTTCATGTTGTTGAGTTTAATCACTAATTGTTACTACAACTAACTATTGTTTGAAAGAGCAATCGATCTTTCTAATTCACTTTTTGGGAGTTGCAAAAGATAAGTTTTTATTCAATATTCGTTACTTTTATACTATTTGTTTTTGTATTCCTAACTAACTATTCTATTTTTAGGGCTCTACTAGTTGTTTCCCACCAATTTTTTCATGACCGATTGTTCTTGGGCTCTTGTCAGTTAAGTTTCTCCTCATCATTTGAACACAACACGTCATATGATAATTTTCGATCCTGCCTATTGATACATGGGCATCATGACCATAACTCTTTCCAGATTTGGTCGCATGCACTGATCGCGCAATTGTCTCCAAAATTGTAATTTGCACGAGTAACACAAACCAAAAAAGAAAATCGAATTTTGTAAATATGAAGGTAGAAGTTTAGGGCTAGGGAGTTAACATTATAAGATATTGCAATAAATTATTGTCTATTACATGCAAAATTTCGTTTCCAACATTTTTAATTAGTGCACCAAGGTGATTTAAACACTAGTTTTTGAGTATTTTCGCTTTTTTCTTCTTTCGCGCGTGTTCGGAATTTAGTCGGGCTGATCCGGAATAGTCAAATTTGTGCTCTCCCGTTTGACGATTTCCTTTTAGGAATTTGTATTACTCGCGCAAATAAGTGCGTGCCCAGGAGGTAAAGGGGGGTAATGTAAACATAGAATTTGATTGGATCGCATGCATAATCGCACGAGTAATACAAACCCTAAAAAGGAAATGGCCGATCGGAGAGCACAAATTTTGACTATTCTTTCCGAACACGCGAGAAAGAAGAAGCAAGCGAAAATACCCAAAAACTAGTGTTTAAATTGACCTTGGTGCACTAATTAAAACTGTCGGAAACGAAATTTTGCATATAATAGGTAATAATCTATTACTATAGCCTATAATATTAACGCCCTAGTCTTAAACTTCTATCTTCACGCACTTAGTTTATTTACAAAATTTAATTTCCTTTTTTTGGTTTGTTACTCGCGCAAATAAGTAAAATTAGGATTTTTTTTTTTACTATGAGAGGGAGAGATTCTGGAGAGGGGGTAATGTAAAACACAGAATTTAATTGGTCAAAGACCGGATAAACGAACAACTAAGGGAGTTCATGTGCGCAGTAATACAGGTTACGCTATGGTATGTAATAGTTGAATGGGTAAATAAATGAGAGGATAATAAGGTGATTAGGCTATACTCGAAAAAGGTTTAGATAATTTGTGTTTGAATATGTATGTATATTTTATTTAATAAACAAGGCATTTGATATGTTTTAAGGGAGTTAAATTATAAATATAGTAATATCAATTATTATAAAATGCACCTATGGTGGTTTTGCACCTATTATATATTTTTATTATGTGTTTTAAAATTTTCTATGTTTTTATAAGTTTTGTATATACAATTTTTAACACCAATTTTTTCACGTTAAAGTTAATATTAAGGTTAGAATTAGGGTTTGGGAAGGGTTTTTGGGGCATAGAACATTTTTACTTAGAACACCTCACATCGATTAATTAGCCAGTTTTTGAGATAATATATCCATAGGTGCGTTTTAGTAAAATTCTAGTATATTATTTGGTTTTAAATGCACATGGAAGTTACAAACATTTATTATAGATTTAATTTCAGTTTTAGATATGTTAGTAGTTTTTGCTTTCACAGTTTTAGATATGTTAGGAAATTGTTTCTTGTTAACACAGTTATAATATGTTAGTAGTTTCTTGCTAGCACCGATTTGGATGTTTTTTGCTAATGCAGTTTTGACTGGTTTTTGCTAACACAGTTAGATATTAGAAGTAGTTTCTTGCTATTACAGTTATAGATATGTTAGAAGTAGTTTCTTGCTATCACAGTTATAGGTACATTAGTAGTAGTTTATTACTGACAAGTATTAAATATGCTAAAAGTAGTTTTTTGCTAACACTAGTTTGGATAATTTTTGCTGAAACAGTTTTAGATATATTAGAAGTATTTTCTTGCTAACGCAGTTTTAAATTAGTTAGAAGTAGTTTCTTGCTATCACAGTTATAGATATGTTAGAAGTAGTTTCTTGCCAATGATGCTTGATATGTTAGAAGTGGTTTTTTGCTAATGCTATTTTAGATAAGTTAGAAGTAGTCTCTTGCTGACACAGTTTTAGAAATGCTAGAAGTAGTTTCTTGTTGATGCAGGTTCAGATATGTTAAAAGTAGTTTATTCCAGTAATATTGCTTAGAAAAGCATGGCTTAGTTTTAGAAGATTGTGTTTGTTATGATAGCAAACAGATTCTTGTATGTTTTCTAGTTGCATTTTTAATAGTTATCTAATCAAGTAATAATGATAAATAATAATATATTAGAATTTTGAGATTAGTTTATATTTAGTAAAATGAAAAAATTGCATAATAGTTAAATAACTGTATAATTTATTGCAATCATATGAATAATCAGTTTAAATTTCATGAATTATTAAGAAGAAACCAGGTTGCAGAAAATACAGAACCAAATGCATTTTTTCTGATTTTTTAATATTATCTAGTTTTGGAATGGAAAATTTTGTAAAAAAGTGAGTAATTTAGTTTACTCTCTCCAAAAGAGAATTTGCTTAATCATATATTGTTTTAAGTTAGAGTTAATACTTCAATCTGGATATTTATCTCTTAAACTGTTTAAAATTCAGTACAAATTTGGCCTGAATTTTACTATAAAAATACTTCTGATCTGTTTTTTTAAAAATTTAATATATTTAAATAAAAATTTTTTGATGATATTTAAAAATAAGGATTATATTTTGTAAAATTTATATTCAAATTATAAAACAAAAATTTTAACTTGTTTGTAAGCTAAAAATATACAAATTTTAAAAAATTTTTAATTAAAAAAATAATTTATAATTTTTTAACAAATTCTTTAAATATTAATTTTAAATTTATAATTTTTTAATAGAAATTATAGCATAAATAAAAGATTATAATTTTCATTATTGTAAATTTGTAATTTATTTGAAAAAATTAAAACTTGTATTAGAAGTAAAAATTTTTTTTATAGACGGAAACATATAAGATTTTAAAAATTTAATGAAAAATTTTATAATAAAAAATTCAAAATAAAAACTTTAAATCTTATTCCTTAAGTTTTTTAATAAAATTAAAATTTTTTCTTTACAAAATTATTAAAATATGTCTTAAAATATATTTTTTACTTAAAAAGTATATAGCTAAAATTAATATTTAGAATTTTATTTTAAAAATAAAACTTTTAAAAAATTTCAGTACAAATTTGTACAAGAAACAGTTTAAGGGATATATATCCAGATTGATATTTTGTCATAAAATTATAGTAAAATATAGTAATTTAAATTTGAATTGATTTTATATCCGGATATAAAACATAGTGAGGTACAGTATTAACTCTATTATCACAAAATTAGAGTTTCAAATATAACGCAACACAGTTGCGCAGCTATCTTGTTATGTATTTATTTATTGTTTGAATTAAATTTATTACAAGAAAGTAAGTGGTTTACCGATTGCATAGTCACAAATAAAAAATATTTTAGTATATAATATATAAAAACCTCCTGCACGAATAGAAGACCTAAGCCTAGAGATTGGCAAATCGCGGTTTTTCCAAAAATCCCGCGCGTCACGTGCAGGATCCGCGCGTGATGCGTATCCCGCGCGGGATTCATTAAACCTAGGTGCCTCGATTTTGATTGGCCAACGGCGACCGGGGTAAATCGCCACCCAAAAAGTTTCGAAAATCATGTGATATTGTCAATTTATCATGATTAGAATCATGATAATATAAAATATTAATTGATTTAGCAAGTGATT